TATGTCTGACTATTAAGAACTCTGAATTACACAACTGTCTATAAAGGTCTGAAATACCTGTCTTTAAAGTTCACCTCCTCTGAATAACAAGCACCTTTCTATAAAGACGACCTCTGGGTAACAAACACCTTTCTATAAAGACGACCTCTGGGTAACAAACACCTTTCTATAAAGACGACCTCTGGGTAACAAACACCTTTCTATAAAGACGACCTCTGGGTAACAAACACCTTTCTATAAAGACGACCTCTGGGTAACAAACACCTTTCTATAAAGACGACCTCTGGGTAACAAACACCTTTCTATAAAGACGACCTCTGGGTAACAAACACCTTTCTATAAAGACGACCTCTGGGTAACAAACACCTTTCTATAAAGACGACCTCTGGGTAACAAACACCTTTCTATAAAGACGACCTCTGGGTAACAAACACCTTTCTATAAAGACGACCTCTGGGTAACAAACACCTTTCTATAAAGACGACCTCTGGGTAACAAACACCTTTCTATAAAGACGACCTCTGGGTAACAAACACCTTTCTATAAAGACGACCTCTGGGTAACAAACACCTTTCTATAAAGACGACCTCTGGGTAACAAACACCTTTCTATAAAGACGACCTCTGGGTAACAAACACCTTTCTATAAAGACGACCTCTGGGTAACAAACACCTTTCTATAAAGACGACCTCTGGGTAACAAACACCTTTCTATAAAGACGACCTCTGGGTAACAAACACCTTTCTATAAAGACGACCTCTGGGTAACAAACACCTTTCTATAAAGACGACCTCTGGGTAACAAACACCTTTCTATAAAGACGACCTCTGGGTAACAAACACCTTTCTATAAAGACGACCTCTGGGTAACAAACACCTTTCTATAAAGACGACCTCTGGGTAACAAACACCTTTCTATAAAGACGACCTCTGGGTAACAAACACCTTTCTATAAAGACGACCTCTGGGTAACAAACACCTTTCTATAAAGACGACCTCTGGGTAACAAACACCTTTCTATAAAGACGACCTCTGGGTAACAAACACCTTTCTATAAAGACGACCTCTGGGTAACAAACACCTTTCTATAAAGACGACCTCTGGGTAACAAACACCTTTCTATAAAGACGACCTCTGGGTAACAAACACCTTTCTATAAAGACGACCTCTGGGTAACAAACACCTTTCTATAAAGACGACCTCTGGGTAACAAACACCTTTCTATAAAGACGACCTCTGGGTAACAAACACCTTTCTATAAAGACGACCTCTGGGTAACAAACACCTTTCTATAAAGACGACCTCTGGGTAACAAACACCTTTCTATAAAGACGACCTCTGGGTAACAAACACCTTTCTATAAAGACGACCTCTGGGTAACAAACACCTTTCTATAAAGACGACCTCTGGGTAACAAACACCTTTCTATAAAGACGACCTCTGGGTAACAAACACCTTTCTATAAAGACGACCTCTGGGTAACAAACACCTTTCTATAAAGACGACCTCTGGGTAACAAACACCTTTCTATAAAGACGACCTCTGGGTAACAAACACCTTTCTATAAAGACGACCTCTGGGTAACAAACACCTTTCTATAAAGACGACCTCTGGGTAACAAACACCTTTCTATAAAGACGACCTCTGGGTAACAAACACCTTTCTATAAAGACGACCTCTGGGTAACAAACACCTTTCTATAAAGACGACCTCTGGGTAACAAACACCTTTCTATAAAGACGACCTCTGGGTAACAAACACCTTTCTATAAAGACGACCTCTGGGTAACAAACACCTTTCTATAAAGACGACCTCTGGGTAACAAACACCTTTCTATAAAGACGACCTCTGGGTAACAAACACCTTTCTATAAAGACGACCTCTGGGTAACAAACACCTTTCTATAAAGACGACCTCTGGGTAACAAACACCTTTCTATAAAGACGACCTCTGGGTAACAAACACCTTTCTATAAAGACGACCTCTGGGTAACAAACACCTTTCTATAAAGACGACCTCTGGGTAACAAACACCTTTCTATAAAGACGACCTCTGGGTAACAAACACCTTTCTATAAAGACGACCTCTGGGTAACAAACACCTTTCTATAAAGACGACCTCTGGGTAACAAACACCTTTCTATAAAGACGACCTCTGGGTAACAAACACCTTTCTATAAAGACGACCTCTGGGTAACAAACACCTTTCTATAAAGACGACCTCTGGGTAACAAACACCTTTCTATAAAGACGACCTCTGGGTAACAAACACCTTTCTATAAAGACGACCTCTGGGTAACAAACACCTTTCTATAAAGACGACCTCTGGGTAACAAACACCTTTCTATAAAGACGACCTCTGGGTAACAAACACCTTTCTATAAAGACGACCTCTGGGTAACAAACACCTTTCTATAAAGACGACCTCTGGGTAACAAACACCTTTCTATAAAGACGACCTCTGGGTAACAAACACCTTTCTATAAAGACGACCTCTGGGTAACAAACACCTTTCTATAAAGACGACCTCTGGGTAACAAACACCTTTCTATAAAGACGACCTCTGGGTAACAAACACCTTTCTATAAAGACGACCTCTGGGTAACAAACACCTTTCTATAAAGACGACCTCTGGGTAACAAACACCTTTCTATAAAGACGACCTCTGGGTAACAAACACCTTTCTATAAAGACGACCTCTGGGTAACAAACACCTTTCTATAAAGACGACCTCTGGGTAACAAACACCTTTCTATAAAGACGACCTCTGGGTAACAAACACCTTTCTATAAAGACGACCTCTGGGTAACAAACACCTTTCTATAAAGACGACCTCTGGGTAACAAACACCTTTCTATAAAGACGACCTCTGGGTAACAAACACCTTTCTATAAAGACGACCTCTGGGTAACAAACACCTTTCTATAAAGACGACCTCTGGGTAACAAACACCTTTCTATAAAGACGACCTCTGGGTAACAAACACCTTTCTATAAAGACGACCTCTGGGTAACAAACACCTTTCTATAAAGACGACCTCTGGGTAACAAACACCTTTCTATAAAGACGACCTCTGGGTAACAAACACCTTTCTATAAAGACGACCTCTGGGTAACAAACACCTTTCTATAAAGACGACCTCTGGGTAACAAACACCTTTCTATAAAGACGACCTCTGGGTAACAAACACCTTTCTATAAAGACGACCTCTGGGTAACAAACACCTTTCTATAAAGACGACCTCTGGGTAACAAACACCTTTCTATAAAGACGACCTCTGGGTAACAAACACCTTTCTATAAAGACGACCTCTGGGTAACAAACACCTTTCTATAAAGACGACCTCTGGGTAACAAACACCTTTCTATAAAGACGACCTCTGGGTAACAAACACCTTTCTATAAAGACGACCTCTGGGTAACAAACACCTTTCTATAAAGACGACCTCTGGGTAACAAACACCTTTCTATAAAGACGACCTCTGGGTAACAAACACCTTTCTATAAAGACGACCTCTGGGTAACAAACACCTTTCTATAAAGACGACCTCTGGGTAACAAACACCTTTCTATAAAGACGACCTCTGGGTAACAAACACCTTTCTATAAAGACGACCTCTGGGTAACAAACACCTTTCTATAAAGACGACCTCTGGGTAACAAACACCTTTCTATAAAGACGACCTCTGGGTAACAAACACCTTTCTATAAAGACGACCTCTGGGTAACAAACACCTTTCTATAAAGACGACCTCTGGGTAACAAACACCTTTCTATAAAGACGACCTCTGGGTAACAAACACCTTTCTATAAAGACGACCTCTGGGTAACAAACACCTTTCTATAAAGACGACCTCTGGGTAACAAACACCTTTCTATAAAGACGACCTCTGGGTAACAAACACCTTTCTATAAAGACGACCTCTGGGTAACAAACACCTTTCTATAAAGACGACCTCTGGGTAACAAACACCTTTCTATAAAGACGACCTCTGGGTAACAAACACCTTTCTATAAAGACGACCTCTGGGTAACAAACACCTTTCTATAAAGACGACCTCTGGGTAACAAACACCTTTCTATAAAGACGACCTCTGGGTAACAAACACCTTTCTATAAAGACGACCTCTGGGTAACAAACACCTTTCTATAAAGACGACCCCTGGGTAACAAACACCTTTCTATAAAGACGACCTCTGGGTAACAAACACCTTTCTATAAAGACGACCTCTGGGTAACAAACACCTTTCTATAAAGACGACCTCTGGGTAACAAACACCTTTCTATAAAGACGACCTCTGGGTAACAAACACCTTTCTATAAAGACGACCTCTGGGTAACAAACACCTTTCTATAAAGACGACCTCTGGGTAACAAACACCTTTCTATAAAGACGACCTCTGGGTAACAAACACCTTTCTATAAAGACGACCTCTGGGTAACAAACACCTTTCTATAAAGACCACCCCTGGGTAACAAACACCTTTCTATAAAGATGACATCTGGGTAACAAACACCTTTCTATAAAGACCACCTCTGGGTAACAAACACTTTTCTATAAAGACCACCCCTGGGTAACAAACACTTTTCTATAAAGACGACCTCTGGGTAACAAACACCTTTCTATAAAGATGACCTCTGGGTAACAAACACTTTTCTATAAAGACCACCTCTGGGTAACAAACACCTTTCTATAAAGATGACCTCTGGGTAACAAACACTTTTCTATAAAGACCACCCCTGGGTAACAAACACTTTTCTATAAAGATGACCTCTGGGTAACAAACACCTTTCTATAAAGATGACCTCTGGGTAACAAACACTTTTCTATAAAGACCACCTCTGGGTAACAAACACCTTTCTATAAAGATGACCTCTGGGTAACAAACACCTTTCTATATAGACCACCCCTGGGTAACAAACACTTTTCTATAATGACCACCTCTGGGTAACAAACACCTTGTATACATGAAAGCATGCTGACATTTGGTATTGTGTGACAGGTATGGACACCTTGGTAGAAAGATCAACCAGATGAAGCAGGGTGGTGAGCTATCACTGATCCCGTCTGAGCTGATTCCCCCGCCTCCAAGCTCCTCCCCAGCCTTTGGGGCCAGTGCCAGTGGCCAGGATCTGTCTGGTGCTGGGAGTATGAGCATGGACTATGATACTTACATAAAGGACCGTCGACCTGACACTTCATCAGGGCCACCTAGTGAGGGAACATTGACATCTCTGGCAAAACCCACAACGTCAGAGGTATGGAAAGAATTATTTCACTATGCAATGATATATGATATGGATGATATGATGGGAAATGTGACATTTAAGCATTGAACTGTAGCGCGCATTATGATTTGTTTGCTTGCAAAGCTGTGTCATTCAAATAGATCATAAATACCATACAAAAACAGTTCAATACTTATATTTACGTTTTCTCTGCCTCTTATGTTTTTTTTAACTTGTCATTTATATTTAAAATTTAAAATGCCCTCCTTATCGACAGTCCACAAAATTTCGTTCAATAGTTTGAACAGCGTGTTTGTCGCGTGCTGATTGGCAAACAAAGTAGTACGTTGAAATTTTAACAAACACTTCAATGTTATTTCACAATTCAATATAAATACAATTGCGTATGATATGGCTATATGGTGATTTAAGTTTATCAATAGAACTGAAAGTTAGATTTTAAATTCTTTCTCAGGGAGTTATTTTTGGCAGTTAATTCAAATTTTTCTCTTTGTTCATTTTGTGAAGAATCCAGACGTGAATTTATTTGTTGATTGTATGGGAATCTGACTACAATCTGTAGATTCTATAACAGCCTCGTTATTTGATATGTCATCAGAAACAGTGGCTGCGAGACGCGTGAAACTGATAGCGTTTGAAGTGAGTGATCTTGCGACGGAGCACAGGGGTTCATTACAAATGTCTGAAATGTTTATGTTTGCTGTGACTCATATCAGTAGGTCTGTAACATATGTGTCAGTAGGTCTATACAATATGTTCAGACATTTGTAACGAACCCCTGTTGGTCAGTGCAGTGTAACAGACGATATTTTTGATAAATTTCATGAGTGTTAAAATTGTTTCCATTGCCGGCATTGGTGATTTCAACCGATGTGTATTTTGTACGATATTGCAGACCCTGGTCTTGTTTTAGTTGTAATAAAAGTATTTTTTATTTTATTTTTTATTTTGCACATAAATTTACAATGACATTGTCAAATCTCATGTTTATTTACATTGGATATTGTAGTTCCGGTCAGTGTTGTATAAGTATGCTAAGATTTATGTTTCGTGCTGCATGGTAATTAAAGTCCCATCAACGACACAGCTTTCAAAGAGGCTTTATAGTGACAATGCCATGCAAATGTAAATATATATATACATACAAAGTGTTCAATAGTTTTTTTAGAAAGAATATGAATTTGAAGTCATCTTCAGAAAAAACACTACTTACAATGTTGGGAACCTGTAAGTCAATGGGAATGACCTTGTTCGTTCCAGGGAAGAGTAAACGCTAACCAAACGTTAGTTTTAATATGTTGTTTTGTAGACTAGATTACTGAGCTGTATGGTGTTTGTGTGTTACAGAGTGTAGACGAGCCCCACCCAACACCACTGGAGGGTCACACACCAGTCCAGGATGATGACATTGGCACACCAAAAAAACGGAAAAACCTTCTGATCAATCTTGCAAAGCTGCAGACGGGAACCTTCTCAAGTCTGTATGATGAAGCGATTGCCATAGAGACAATCTTGCCTGAAAATTCAGGAGAGAAAATTGTGACCACAACAGAAAAGAAATCACGGCGTAAGAAAAGAAAGGAACAGCAAAAGAAAGTGGTAAAAAGTGTGAAGCAGTTCTTTGGTCCTATTATGGAGTCATCTGCAGCTCCAGAGGAATCTCCCAGGGAGGAGGAGGATGACACCCAGATCACAGAGTACCGCCTCAGGGGGATTAAACCAGACGTCATGTACATCGATGCTACAACGGAAATGATTCTGTCAAAGCAGGAAGCAGGTCGTCTAGTGAGAGATGCAGAGGATGAAATTCATATGAGAGCAAGGGATCTGCCCAAACCAAAAGTCACCCCTCGCAAGTCTGTAAACACCAACCAACGAATGTTTGCCCGTGTGCATGGTACCATGGGCATCTCCAGTCTGCTGGCTGTTCACCAGGCCTACAGGGACCGGGAGAAAGCTGAACAGACTGCAGCCAAAATGGAACACATCCTTACAATGCGTGATGACCGTGACAGGGCAAAGGAGAGAATACGCCTTCATAATGATGAGAAACGTAACATGGCTCTTCGAAAGCGTGATGCTGAGCGAAGCCAAATGCTGGAAACTCTTGAGAGGAAGGAGATGAAAAGATTAAGTTATTTGGAGAAACGTACTGATTTGAAGGCAAAGTCATCAGATTATAATCGATCTTACAAAACAGACTTTGCATTTATCACAGAATTCAGCAATCAGCATACGTCTGTGTCAAATGCTCTGATGCGACACGACAAGCAGGCACGTACTGAGGACAACATTACCCTGAAGACCGACATAGTTCAGTCTCACAACACTGCCAAGACCGAGCAGCAGGAAGTCGTTAAAAAGTACATGGAGCACCGGCAGCTGATGAGGCAGACCGAGGCGTCCATGTCCCGAGCCACACTCGACACACGTATGCTCCAGGAAGCCAATGACCGGCTGTTTGAGGCAAAATCTCGTGTTGCCCAGCAGAAAGCTCGTCGGGAGACAGTACAGACATTCTATCCCCTCCCACAACATGTTACTCCTGCCCCTGGATCCTCAATTACTGAGCTCCCTCCCGTCAGTCCGGGAGCAACACGATTTGAGGCCAACGTAATGATGACTCAGGGTCGCGTGGGCAAGCACCCAACTTTACTAACATGAATACAGCTCCATCTCCTTAACAGTTCACTGGTGGTTCTCATGGACTGGACTGGTAGGCCAGTCTACAACCAGGGTATTCATCTCAAAGTCTGAAGTAAAATTGGAAGAACTTTTCAAATCTTAAGGATCTACTTTAGATTCTTACATCACTTTGACATGATCAGGTTGTTATGGAATATAAATTATAATATATATATATACACTTGTATAAATATTTTAGTTGTGAGTCAAAATTACACAATAGATCCAAAGAAATTTGTTACATTATTTATGAAAAAACTAGCAGATGCCATAGAATAAAGCCATTCACTTTAACCGTATTGTAGAGGTTAGGACATACAACTATGCAGGTTCTGACCTATACAGGTTCCGACTCATAGAGGTTCTAACTTATGGTTTCTGACTTATAGAGGTTTTGAATTATAAAGGTTCTGACCCTATAATTATGGAACAAAGTGTGACTGATGTAGGTTAAAATTAATTTATTAAGTATGATACATAAATAACAAGATCAGATTTATGTCTTTTTGAAGGAATTATCTTATACTTATCAAGCTAAAGAAGTTCCGTTACATAACAAAGTTATGTCCCCTGAAGTTAATTACTATAAACATGATTTTATACTTTGTTTTTTGTTAAATGACGTTAGTCTGTCCCATATTAGCATTATCAAAATACTGATGCTACCAGTCCCTGGTCTGTTTTAAACTCTGAAGTTTGAATTTATGGTTGACTCTATCTAGTCTGTGATATGATGATATTAATCTTTCTATACCACTACATTAGTACAGTGGTTCATGTGTACTGTTCTCGAGTGAAGACGTGTATCATTAAACTTTATTCATTCGTAACATTGGATACCATAATTATAACAGCATGAATTGAGACACCTTCCTCCTGTCAAGTCAGTAAAATCTGTCTCGAGACACCATCCCTTCTGTCAAATCAGTAAAATCTGTCTCGAGACACCATCCTGTCTGTCAAATCAGTAAAATCTGTCTCGAGACACCATCCCATCTGTCAATCAGTAAAATCTGTCTCAAGACACCATCCTCCTGTCAAATCAGTAAAATCTGTCTCGAGACACCATCCCTTCTGTCAAATCAGTAAAATCTGTCTCGAGACACCATTTTTTTGTGTCAGCACTCTTGTATAAAGACACAGTGATATCCATTTAATCTGCATTTTAAGTAAAACTTGGCTGATGTGAAAATTAATGGGTGTCTCGGGACATGTGATAGAATGTTCCATAGGGACAGGTTGTCCTAGGTGACCGGTTGTCCTTGTTGACCAATTGTTGTTGTTGACAGGTTGTCCTAGGTGACCGGTTGTTGTTGTTGACATGTTGTTCGTGATGACAGGTTGTGCACTGTAATCCTAAAACCAATCTGTGATATTTTATTTCTTAACTTATTCTAGCAAAAAGTAACTGATGACAATTTTAAACATGATATTTTTACATTGACTATAACTTATAGATTATAACTTGTTTAAATGATCTTGTTTTTGTATATAGCTTTTTACAATACATTCCCACTGAAATTAATGTCTGCATTGTTTTTATTTTAGACTCAATCAACTTTACCATTAAATAAGTTCTACTTAAATATACAGGATACCTGTGTTATCACTGTTGGTCAAGTTGATGTAACAATCTCCTGTATGAATAAACTATTTTCTTAATATGTATATTGTCCTGTGATTCTTAATGTCAAATTTAGAATATTGAGAGTGAAGTTAGATCAATACAGGAGTATTGAGGGTCGGTTTAACACAAGACAGTTTTGTCAAGTCATTCTGTTACATTCTCTTCACCCCTGGATTATATCATGACAAAATCAAAGGCATGCAGTGAATTATTTGATTGGTTTCGGGCTAAGACAAACTGACGAATTGCTAGGCTGACGATTAAAGACGAGCAATAGAGAAGCAATAGAGAAGCAACATCTGACTTCAACGCTGATCATTTTACCGGTAGGCTGCCAAGCGTTTCTATTCATGTACAACAAAAGATCAAACTTGTCTCCTTGTATCATACACATTGTGGCACAAACAGAGCCTTCGATTTTGTCATGACATATTCCAGGGGTGCAGAGAATGTAAGAGAGAGTACCCCCAGGATGGGGTCAAGTTTACGTAATACAGGGTGATGTGATGGTCAAATAACCATGATAATAAAGGATTAATGCAAGGGTCAATCTCCTGTTACGAGGGGTCATGAACAACCTCTGCAAGACAAAAATGTGTAGAATGAGTTAGAATAGAACAAAAATAATTCCAGTAAAATTCAATATTTTATTCAAGACAAAATCCAATGTACAAAAAAAAATGGGAGACAATGTACAAGGTATGCATTTTTCTAAAATAAAATAAAAAAGAGTTTCTCCCTAAAGTTTAACACTGATGCCTTACAATTTCCTTTTTCTCTACCATTAGGTATAATGGATGATACTGAAAACATAGCATAAGGTAATGGGAGGCACACAAAACATATGTCTGAATCATGGAATGAAACAACAGTGCACACCTCATCCACGATTGCCTTCAGGAAAAGGATACTGACCAATGACTAGGCGATACCTGTCTTTTAAGATTAAGAAGGAGTGACACTAGACTTAAAAGTCAGTAACTTTTACCCTTACGCTGCCATGCGGCTCTTTTGATCACATCAAAGGATCACCCTAGTCTACTGGTATCATCCACAAGGTCTCTCATATAGAACCTTCAATTTTACTATGAAATATTCCAGGGGTGCAGAGAATGTAAAAGAGCATAACCCTGGACATTTGAGGACGTGCATACCTGTGTGTCTACCATACCTTATAACTCAGTTCTTATGTAGGTAACAATCAATCAAACTTTATACAAAACCAGAATTCCATGATCACACACAAATGTTGAGTATTTTTAAAAGATACTGACTTTGTTTTCTAATCAGCCATTTACATTCACTTAATGTAATGCATCATGGCCACAATATGGCGAAACTTCGGAAATTTTGTGTTAAAAAAACATTAGAAAATAACTGTAGCCTTAAAAATAAATAAACAAGAGATCCCAGAGGGATCTTGGCGCCCACCTTTGTACCATCTTCATTAGATCTTTGTCAGTTCGATCTTTTCTCTTCTTTCCTCTAATTTGTTTGATCGAGTCATGTTAACAGTAAATGCACCTTGAGGTAACTTTTGATCTAAACTTAATACTGATGTGTATGAAAGCCAATCTTCAAAGTGAGTTTGTCATTTCACATATTTACTAGTACAGTACTTAATGTGAAAGAAATCGATCATTGCAATATGAGAAATATGTGTTTAGTTCTACTTTTAATCCATTTTGTTTTTATGATCAGTCTCAAAATATAACATGCACAACGAGGGATCAAGGGGAACCTACATTTAAAATTTGAGAAAGATCCCACCTGTACTTCCCGAGAAATAGCGATAACAGACTTTCAATATCAAAATCCAAGATGGCTGCCTGTCGGGCATGTTGTTTATCCGATCAGTCTCTATAATTGCCCTGCACAGCTAGGACCAAGGGGAACATACATACTTCTTGAGAAATACCGATAACAAGAATTGTTTAAGGACGGACCACAGACGCAGGGTGATTTGAATAACCTACCATCAGATGATGGTGGGCTTAAAAGAGGCCTATAGGCCTAAACGGTCATCTGACTACAAAGATTGAGCAGGGAGCTTGGTAACTTTTCAACTTTCAATGAAATATTCTAAGAATTTGTTTTCCATGATGGTAGCTTTGGTCAGCTGTGGGTAACTATTTGTCAGTAAAGCTATCAGAAAGCATTTAAACCTAAATCTGAATAGATTTCTCCTTTTAAGGCTCCGTCCCGCTGTCAATGGTGGTTAAACCTGCCTCATTTATATAAGAAATGATTGTTTCTAAATGATGTTTCATACTGAAATTGTTGTAATCTACTTTTGGCATTAACGAGTAGTGTTTAAAAGCAGGAATCTAGGTAATTTCCTTTCTTGGGGCACCATCCTCTCTATCCCCCAGGGGTCAAACCAGCCTCATTTATTCAAGAAACGATTGTCCTCCTTCCCACTTAATGATATTTCAGACCATATTTGGTTGCAATATCCATTTAGGCATTAAGGAGGAATAGCATTTTGAAGCAAATTCCGAGGCCCTGAAACACCCCCACCAATTTTTAGCCCAATGGCACCAGTGGAACTGGAGAAGAAGTTTAAATAGTGTTTTTCAAGTGGTGGCCATCTTGGATTTCAGACCAACCTGAAAAAATAACAACAATTAGTCAGGACCATCTCAGGATCATTTCAGGCAAATTTCAGCTCAATCCCACTAGTGGAACTTGAGAAGAAGTTTAAAATAGGTGTTATTTAGGAAAACCATGATTGCACAATCATGTTACAAAATAGCCACCATGGCTGCCATGTTGAAGCTTTGACGGGGCTGAAAAATAACAACACTTTGTCGGCTTCCTTTTCCTAACATCTCCAACAATTTGTAGCTCAATGGCACCAGTGGAACTAGAGAAGAATTTTAAAATGTTTTTTTCAAACCCCCAAGCGGCCCTTTGCGCCGCCGGGGTTTGATCTGTAAACACTTTGTCCACTTCCAGTGCTTCCCCATGCGTGAAAGCTTTCTGGGGAAATTGAGGCCGCATACTGTCTACAAAAATATGTTGGTAAACCCTAATGCAGTGAAGATAAACGAAACATTATATCTTCACAAGTAAAATCTTCACTCTGTAAGTATTGTCCAATCTGAACGGTATATTATATTTCTGCGTAGATTTTCAGTTTCAAGTTTAGATGAAGTGACGGCAGTATAAGTGGTTGAGCTGTTTACCTTTGCAGCATACATTGTTGTTTTTACATAACTACACAATTAATAACATTTTTGTCTGGAAATCTTACCAGATATACTAGCAAACGGCAAAATTGCAGTGAAAACCCATTCAAAGTGGCGCTTTGTATTGTTGTCAAGCATGACCTCATTATAATTTGGCGTCAAAAACTACGTTATACATTCCCGCGCTTTTCTGATGTAGCAATATTTGCGCAGCGAAACGTGAAAGAAATGTAAGAAATAGAAAATTTCATGGTTTTCCCGTTCAATACGCTATATTTATTTCACTTGTAATATGAAATAGGCGAGACCCCAACAGCTGGCACACATACACATGAAATTACTGTTTTCTACATAACTTGACAGTTACATTTTGTCAGTAGAGTGAACATCCAGTCCTGTCATTATTCAATGGGTGTACTATTATGTTTTCTTCGTACGGGGGGTGGGGGTGGGGGGTGGGGTGTGTGTGTGTGTGTGTGTGTGTGTGTGTGTGTGTGTGTGTGTGTGTGTTAAACCAGGATACCTTATCCCCCTATACCCCTGTCTGCTGAGGACTTTTATTTCAAAATATATGTCCCCATATTGGGACAGGGGCATTAATAATTTCGGTCCCTTTTTGTTAAAGTCGTTCTGAACAATATGTCATATGCTAATATGGTCGAGTGGTCAAAGTTAACACAACGGCCTTCCATGCGGCCGGGGTTCGATCCCAGAAGTTGTCGTATGCATGGATATGCAGAGCAAGTGTTTTTCTCCTGCCTATACAACTCCAACAACCCAGGTGGAGTATAAATTGGTCTGGGGAGAATGTTGCGGTATTTGTGCTGTAGCATTCAAGCGAGGTGGCACTATAAATGATACCGTATGAAGCACGGTCCCGCTACAAACACACCACATTACGTATACATTTCCAGCACACACGCAGTCATACACACATGGGGAGATATTAGCCAGGTGGCATTTGGCTAGTAGTTAGCGCCTGAAAAGGTAACAACCAAAAAACCAGCGTTGTCAAAATATGTCTTCGTTGCAGTCTCGAGAATTAATAACTATTATTTAAAGGGACGGGGGGAGGGGGGCTACGATTGACCCTTTATCCTAGAAAATGGTTGATATTTTATCCAAAATAGTCAAATAGGGACATTGTCAAAAGAATTATGCAAAAATTGCTGCAATTTTGACAAAAGGTGTAAATGATAGTTTATGTAAATCGTCTTATGTCCCCGGCTTCTCTATCTCACTTAGAAGATGACATTATTACCAAATCATTGACATTTGGCCCAAAACGTGCGGTTACAACTAGATATTGAGTGTGAACTGAATATTCTGAACAACACAATTAATGCCATTTACAATTTATATGATTATAATTAAATAGATTAAAGTATGCAGGATCCGTTCCCTCGTGGTTGGTGGACTGTCAGTAAGTCATTTTCATAAAATGGTTTGGTGTCCAGCAGCTTTGCTGCATTTTCTTGTTAAGATGGCGTCCATCTTGGATTTTGGATCGACCCGAAAAATAACAACACATGGTCAGGACCATCTCAGGATCATTTCAGGCAAGTTTCAGCTCAATCCCACAGGTGGAACTTGAGCAGAAGTTTAAAATGTTGAAAGTTTATGGACGACGACGATGAAGCACGAAGACTATAGGTCATCCTGACCATTTGGGTCAGATGACCTAAAAACAACAAATTTAAGTCAGTATAAACTAGTGGCATTGTGTTCTGCGTGTCTGAAGTCTAAACTTCTAAGTTACAGTTTTGTATCTTGTATAGGATTCATATTACATTTTTTCTCTCTCGAAAGATGAAACATATATGGCAAATTTATATAGCAAAGGAAACAACATCAACAAATTTAATCAGTTGCATGTAAACACTAGTTGTTGTGTAAAAACTGGTATCAAGTTCATTGCACAAAGGGTGAGGAGATGTGTTCACTGGTGAAATAGTCACTGACATGATCGTGGTAAACAATATCTTACTTCTATACTACCTTCTCAAAAAGTACTGTGATACACACTATCTAATGTACACCAAGATATGTGTTCACTGGTGAAATAGTCACTGACATGATCGTGGTAAACAATAACTTAATTCTATACTACCTTCTACACATAGTACTGTGATACACACTATCTAATGTACACCAAGATATGTGTTCACTCCATTTTATACATATATTGCTACATAATGCAGGCATATCCTTCATCACAGACTGTAGGGAAATCCAGAAAGCTACAAGGGTCCCATCCTTATTATCCAGGGGTTACGCTCACTTACGCTAGAGCGTACATTAGCGCAATCCCTGGATAACGAGGATGTAAGGGATCAAAATACTGACTCTCCCAGTTCAGACATAAACAAATTCCACATATTAAGAGGATTGTAATAATCTAAATAAGCACCATGTTACAGAGAAAATATTGCAGAAATGATACTACTGTGGTGAAACAATGATTAACAAAGAGATTCTCATTCTCACCTGAATTCTGCTAACTTGATAACTGATATCTCCAAAAGAATGTGCTATTTCCACTCAACTTTTTAAAAGAAATGCTGCCAAACACTGGTCCTTATACAAAGGTATAGTGATAGACCCCGGTCCTTATACAAAGGTATAGTGATATACACTGGTCCTTATATAAAGGTATATTGATATACACTGGTCCTTATATAAAGGTATAGTGATATACACCGGTCCTCATACAAAGGTATAGTGATAGACACCTGTCCATATATAAAGGTATAGTGATAGACACCGGTCCTTATACAAAGGTATAGTGATATACACCAGTCCTAATACAAAGGTATAGTGACAGACACCTGTCCTTATATAAAGGTATAGTGATAGACACCTGTCCTTATATAAAGGTATAGTGATATACACCAGTCCTAATACAAAGGTAAAGTGATAGACACCGGTCCTTATACAAAGGTATAGTGATATACACCGGTCCTTATATAAAGCTGTAGTGATATATCTGGTCCTTATATAAAGGTGTAGTGATAGACACCGGTCCTTATATAAAGGTATAGTGATAGACACCGGTCCTTATACAAATGTAAAGTGATATACACCGGTCCTTATATAAAGCTGTTGTGAAATATCTGGTCCTTATATAAAGGTATATGATATACACTGGTCCTTATATAAAGGTATAGTGATATATCTGGTCCTTATATAAAGGAATAGTGATATACACCGGTCCTTATATAAAGCTGTTGTGAAATATCTGATCCTTATACAAAGGTTTATGATATACACCAGTCCTTATACAAAGGTATATTGATATATCTGGTCCTTATATAAAGGTATAGTGATATACACCTGTCCTTATATAAAGGTATAGTGATATATCTGGTCCTGATATAAAGGAATAGTGATATACACCTGTCCTTATATAAAGGTATAGTGATATACACCTGTCCTGATATAAAGGTATAGTGATATATCTGGACCTTATATAAAGGAATAGTGATATACACCGGTCCTTATATAAAGCTGATGTGAAATATCTGATCCTTATACAAAGGTTTATGATAGACACCAGTCCTTATACAAAGGTATATTGATATATCTGGTCCTTATATAAAGGTATAGTGATATACACCTGTCCTTATACAAATGTAAAGTGATATACACCAGTCCTTATACAAAGGTAAAGTGATATATCTGATCCTTATACAAAGGTATAGTGATATACACCTGTCCTTATACAAATGTAAAGTGATATACACCAGTCCTTATACAAAGATATAGTGATAGACAACGGTCCTTATATAAAGGAATAGGGATATACACCAGTCCTTATACAAAGGTAAAGTGATATATCTGATCCTTATACAAAGGTATAGTGATATACACCTGTCCTTATACAAATGTAAAGTGATATACACCAGTCCTTATACAAAGATATAGTGATAGACAACGGTCCTTATATAAAGGAATAGGGATATACACCAGTCCTTATACAAAGGTAAAGTGATATATCTGATCCTTATACAAAGGTATATTGATATACACCGGTCCTTATACAAAAGTATAGTGATAAACACCGGTCCTTAACAAGGTATAGTGATAGACACCGGTCCTTAAACAAAGGTATAGTGATATACACCGGTCCTTATATAAAGGTATAGTTATATACACCGGTCTTTATACAAAGGTATAGTGATATATCTGGTCCTTATATAAAGGTATAGTGATATACATCGGTCCTTATATAAAGGTATAGTGATATATCTGGTCTTTAAACAAAGGAATAGTGATATACACCGGTCCTTATACAAAGGTATATTGATATACACCGGTCCTTATATAAAGCTGTAGTGATATACAACGGTCCTTATATAAAGGTAAAGTGATATACACTGGTCCTTATATAAAGGTAAATTGATATACACTGGTCCTTATTTAAAGGGAAGTTGATATACACTGGTCCTTATATAAATGTAAAGTGATATACACTGGTCCTTATATAAATGTAAAGTGATATACACTGGTCCTTATTTAAAGGTAAATTGATATACACTGGTCCTTATATAAAGGTATAGTAATATACAACGGTCCTTATATAACTGGTCCTTATACAAAGGTATAGTGATAGACACCGGTCCTTATATAAAGGTATATTGATATACACTGGTCCTTATATAAAGGTAAAGTGATATACACTGGTCCTTATTTAAAGGTAAATTGATATACACTGGTCCTTATATAAAGGTATGACCAGAGTATTCTGGCCTTTAAACTATACAGTTTGTCCATTCCTTCTTCATATAAACATTATTATAATTTTTGGCAAAAGTGTTCTCCATACTTCTTAAGCATATACAACAAAGGAGAGGTTACAACAATGCCGTTCATTTCTTTTCCTTATAAACCAAGGGAGAGGTTACAACAATGTCGTTCATTTCTTTTCCTTATAAACAAAGGAGAGGTTACAACAATGTCGTTTATTACTCTTTAGTATGAGCAATAGCAGAGGGAATCATCCATTCCCCTAAAGTGTGATGACAAAGGAGTGGCTGGAACAACATTGCCTTTTTCTCCTTGGTATAAGTGACAAATGAATAGTGGCAACAATTTCAGATCAGGTACACGTTTGGCCAACACAAAAAAGTAGCACTTACAAAATAAAGACGGTTACAAAGATAGGTGACTTCTAATAAAAACTTAGTAATAAATAACATGATACACCATCGAAACAGTAATACACCTTCAGAAGTCTTCATCCCTGATGATAAAACAATACAATGCTGGACTGTTAAGGTTTTCTATAAACATAGTACAGTATAGAAAATGTTGTTATTTACCAAGACATGTTACAAATATGTTATCACAATTGCTGGAAATCACATGGTCAACAGTGAATTTAAAAACAGATTAATAGAAATATCATATAAGCACTATAATCTACATAAAATGCTAATCTGAACAGACAAACAACAACAGAACAATTGTTATTTTATTCTGTGCTACTAAGAAAAGACTTACAACATTACAATAATTTATTTTTTTGGATCAGTTTGAAACCAGCCATTTCTCTCCTAACAACCCAGAGGATCACAAATTTACCAACAATTGTATCCACATCTTTGGAGGTAGTAAGCAATGTCCTTGACCTACATTGAAGATGATAACCAATGTCCTTGACCTACATTGAAGATGATAATCATCGTCTTTGAATTAATTAACCTAGAACTGGTAGTCAATGGCGCTACATCTGGAGATGGTCGATGACAGCATGTGTAAAGTCACTGGTAGATGAGTAGCCGCCCATATCCTTTGTTCTTGTCTGAAAAGAAAAATGAAAACTGTATGTATACACCAATTATAAATATAGCACCAGACACACATTTCTAACTCTTCCAGGATTAACTGTATCAAAACATGGAGTACTCTACAAAGATTAGTTAGTGGCTATGTGGTCAATGTTACTAGGGACAGTAACCCATGACTTCTAAGCCTTCACTTCAACAGTCATTTCTCCTCTCTTATCTGAAATTTTCTCAAAGGCAGATGATTCCAGCTTATTCAACTAGAGTAAAATGAAAATAGTGAATTCAGTATTCTTAATTTTGGGAGATTATTTCATAATTATGATTTATCTATCTCAAAATGTATTCCTCTAATAATTGTGTACTTCATCTGCTTTGATAAACCTGGAGATAACAACTCTGATGACCCTGAAGATCATGACCTCTATGAACTTTAATGACCACGGAGATAACCACCCCAATGACCCTGAAGATCGTGCCCTTTATGATCTTTAATTAACCTGAGGATAACAACCCTGGTGACCCTGAAGATCCTGACCTCTGTGACCTGTAATGACCCTGAAGATAACCACCCTGATGACCCTGACCTCTATGACCTTTAATGACCCTGGAGATAACAACCATGGTGACCCTGAAGATCCTGACCTCTGTGACCTTTAATGACCCTGGAGATAACCATCCTGATGACCATGACCTCTATGACCTTTAATGACCCTGGAGATAACAACCATGGTGACCCTGAAGATCATGACCTCTGTGACCTTTAATGACCCTGGAGATAACCACCCTTATGACCCAGAAGATCGTGACCTTTATGATCTTTAATGAACCTGGGGATAACAACCCTGGTGAACCTGAAGATAATGACTTCTATGACCTTTAATGACCCTGGAGATAACCACCCTGATGACCCCTGAAGATCCTGACCTCTATGACCTTTAATGACCCTGGAGATAACCATCCTGATGACCCAGAAGATTGTGACCTTTATGATCTTTAATGAACCTGGGGATAACTATCCTGGTGAACCTGAAGATAATGACCTCTATGACCTTTGATGACCCTGGAGAGAATGCCCTCTCACAACCTTTGGTAACTTACAATGCCTACATTGAGGCTTGGAGATAATGACCTCTATGACCTTTGATGACCCTAGAGAAAATGCCCTCTCACAACCTTTGGTAACTTACAATGCCTACATTGAGGCTTGGAGATAATGACCATTATGATATGTAATGATCTCGGAGAAAAGTTCTGTGACCTTATATGACCTTGGATATAGCAACCACTTTGACCTTGGATGACCTACCTTGCCAGCTTTGATGACCCTGGTGATGGCATCCTCTATGACCTTGGCATGGTACTCAAGGTGCATGTGCTTCAACATGTTACAGCCACTCAGCAGTACAGCTGTAGGGTTGGCGATGTCCCTACCCACAGCCTCAGCGTAGGAATGACGAGCTCCCTGTAAATACACACGGCTTCTCTGATTGGTTTGTGATGTACACATTTATTAATTTGATTGGCATTTGAGACACACATCAATTAATCTGATTTTTAATTAGAAATGCATCTATTTCATTTTTTCTTAGAGATAATTTGTTGCAGTAATTGTAATTGGTTTGATCATCAAAGGCCCTAATCTCCCATGTCAATTCAACATGTATGGGTGAGTGACTCCAGAATATTTATCCTGTGATTTTAGACTTATCACCACAAGTCATATGCATGCAGATACATTGAACTTCAGTGAGCAGAAATCCAATTTTACCTGTTCAAAAATGGCCACATCATTACTGTAGCTCTCTCCTGGGACAATACCAGCTCCTCCTACTAGTCCTGCAGCTAAGTTGTCAACGATGTTGCCATAGAGATTGGGCATCACCATGACATCAAACTGATGGGGATTGGACACCAGCTGTCAACACAATGTTAAGTACATTTCAGTTTTTGTAATTTTCCATAGATTGGTATGACTTGTGAATAAACAATTAACCACAATAGTTAGTACATCAACAACACGTTTAGCATCAACAACAACACTTTCAGTTTATAAAAAGCATTTTAGTACATAAAATTAAAATAACTTTTCACCCTCATATTCAATTTATATGAAAATTTGTTTGATTTTTGTAAGCATTGTGAAAATCAATTCCATACGAAATTCAAATTAATTGGGATAGACTGAAGATATAATATCACCTAACACTTGACATTAGGCCCTGTAACATGTACACCCTAGATGAAGTCACTACCTATCTGACAGGATAACAGATCCTCTAACATGTATACACTAGATGAAGTGACTATATGTCTGACCTGACATCAGGCCCTGTAACCTGTACATTAGGTGTAGTGACTATATGTCTGACCTGACAATAGGCCCTGTAACCTGTACATTAGATGTAGTGACTATATGTCTGACCTGACATCAGGCTCTGTAACCTGTACACACTAGATGTGAGCAGGCTCTGTAACCTGTATACACTCGATGTGAGCAGGCCCTGTAACCTGTACACACTAGATGTAAGCAGGTCCTGTAACCTGTACACACTAGATGTGAGCAGTCTGAGTAACCTGTACACACTAGATGTAAACAGGCCATGTAACCTGTACACACTAGATGTAAGCAGGCCCTGTAACCTGTACACACTAGATGTAAACAGGCCCTGTAAACTGTACACACTAGATGTGAGCAGGCTCTGCAAACTGTACACACTAGATGTAAGCAGGCCCTGTAACCTGTACACACTAGATGTAAACAGGCCCTGTAACCTGTACACACTAGATGTAAACAGGTCCTGTAACCTGTACACACTAGATGTGAGCAGGCTCTGCAAACTGTACACACTAGATGTAAGCAGGCCCTGTAACCTGTACACACTAGATGTAAGCAGGTCCTGTAACCTGTACACACTAGATGTGAGCAGTCTCTGTAACCTGTACACACTGGATGTGAGCAGTCTGAGTAACCTGTACACACTAGATGTAAACAGGCCATGTAACCTGTACACACTAGATGTAAGCAGGCCCTGTAACCTGTACACACTAGATGTAAGCAGGTCCTGTAACCTGTACACACTAGATGTGAGCAGGCCCTGTAACTTGTACATACTAGATGTAAGCAGGCCCTGTAACCTGTACACCCTAGATGTGAGCAGGCTCTGTAACCTGTACACACTAGATTTGGGCAGGCTCTGTAACCTGTACACGCTAGATGTGAGCAGGCTCTGTAATCTGTACACACTAGATGTAAATAGGCTCTGTAACCTGTACACACTAGATGTGAGCAGTTTCTGTAACCTGTACACACTAGATGTAAGCAGGCTCTGTAACCTGTACACACTAGATGTGAGTAGGCTCTGTAACCTGTACACACTAGATGTAACCAGGCCCTGTAATCTGTACACACTAGATGTGAGCAGGCCCTGTAACCTGTACACGCTAGATGTAAACAGGTCCTGTAACCTGTACACACTAGATGTGAGCAGGCCCTGTAACCTGTACACGCTAGATGTAAACAGGTCCTGTAACCTGTACACACTAGATGTGAGCAGTCTCTGTAACCTATACACACTAGATGTGAGCAGGCCCTGTAACCTGTACATACTAGATGTAAGCAGGCCCTGTAACCTGTACACCCTAGATGTGAGCAGGCTCTGTAACCTGTACACACTGGATGTAAACAGGCCCTGTAACCTGTACACACTAGATGTAAACAGGCCCTGTAAACTGTACACACTAGATGTGAGCAGGCTCTGCAAACTGTACACACTAGATGTAAGCAGGCCCTGTAACCTGTACACCCTAGATGTGAGCAGGCTCTGTAACCTGTACACACTGGATGTAAACAGGCCCTGTAACCTGTACACACTAGATGTAAACAGGTCCTGTAACCTGTACACACTAGATGTGAGCAGTCTGAGTAACCTGTACACACTAGATGTAAGCAGGTCCTGTAACCTGTACACACTAGATGTGAGCAGGCTCTGCAAACTGTACACACTAGATGTGAGCAGGCCCTGTAACCTGTACATACTAGATGTAAGCAGGCTCTGTAACCTGTACACACTAGATGTGAGTAGGCTCTGTAACCTGTACACACTAGATGTAACCAGGCCCTGTAATCTGTACACACTAGATGTGAGCAGGCCCTGTAACTTGTACATACTAGATGTAAGCAGGCCCTGTAACCTGTACACACTAGATGTGAGCAGTCTGAGTAACCTGTACACACTAGATGTGAT